GGGACAGAGAGAGAGAGAGAGAGAGAGAGAGAGAGAGAGAGAGTTTTACAGAGTGGGTTGTCCCAGCAAGTAAGACATGTATTTACTAATGTCCTGTCTTGTTGTGCGTATGCGTGAGTGCACCCTCCAACCACCCGCTAAGGCGTATAGATAAGGACGATAGATGTTTGAGAGGATAGACGGAACAAACTAGTCCAGAACACCCGCCAACCACCCAATGTAAGTATTTCATAAGCACAAACAAAATCAAAACAAAAAGAAAGTTATTAATAAATCATCTATTTGTTTTATTGGATGTAGAATGAAACGTAACAAAATTTGTAACATTTATTAAATGTAACAAAATAATAAATACTAGATTCTATTTATAACGAGATCAGTTTTAACGATTGAGAATTGAGGTGGTGTTTTAAAGTAATATATACACAATTTGGCGAAATGATGAAATGGTGAAATTGTAACATGGTATAAGGATTAACGCCCCTATCAACACTGTTAGGTTATTTAAGAGGCAGGACCTCCGAGTTTAACGTCTATCTCCGAAAGGACCGAGCCAAGTGGGATGTTTATATATATTATAGTGCCTCCTTTCCCAAGGACACAACGTCGGACTGAGCTGAGGCTCGAACCGCCGGACCCGCAATCTCACGACTACGGGTCCAGTAGGACACAGTTTGGGTCATAAAAGTCATACATTATTAATGTTAGCGCCAAAAACTGATGCACTGTCACAGTCTGTCTAGCTATTGGTTCCGGGGTATCGCTACTTTGAACATCAGCTTTCTAAAGAGAGCACCTGTGAAGCTAGTACTGGTATTCCATCAGATTTGTCCAAATCTTTTAGTTTTAGTAAGAGTTTTACGGCACTTGCAACACAATAAGGTCATAATATAAGTTCCGACGATACCACCCTCAAGCAAGTAGCCTACAACATTTTAAATATTTGGGACCATTATAATTATTATCAGATGTCACACCGAAATTAAAAGCCGCATTTGCCAAGCAATCTCTGTCTCTCTCTGTCTCTCTCGTTTCCCTCTCTCTCTCTGTCTCTGTCGCTCTCTTTCTCTCCCTCTCTTTCACACATTCACCCTCCCCGTCTCTATCTCTCTGACTCTCTGTCTCTCTCTCTCTCTCTCAATCTGGTTTTCTCTGTCTTTCTCTCTCTGTGTCCCCCTCTCTGTCTCTCTCTCTGTCTCTGTCCGTCTCTCTCTCTCCGTCTCTCTCTCTCTCTCTCTCTCTCTCTCTCTCTTTCTCTCCCTCTCTTTCACACATTCACCCTCCCCGTCTCTATCTCTCTGACTCTCTGTCTCTCTCTCTCTCTCTCAATCTGGTTTTCTCTGTCTTTCTCTCTCTGTGTCCCCCTCTCTGTCTCTCTCTCTGTCTCTGTCCGTCTCTCTCTCTCCGTCTCTCTCTCTCTCTCTCTCTCTCTCTCTCTCTCTCTCTCTCT